CAAGACGTTATACGCCACTATTTTCATTTCGTAAAAGCTATTGATGACCGATATAATCACTACAGAAAAGAATATCCAAGGCGTACATCCAAAGGAAAGGTTTCTGATGAGATTAGAAAACAGCTTTCAAATTCTGTTAGTGAGAGTTTACTTCGAAAAACAAAAGAAAGGGCCCTGAAGATTTATGATTTGTTCAATGAATTAGGAGAGGATAACATTAAACGAATTAAGACTTTCACGGCTACAACACTAGCAAATATGATATTAATTACGTATTAGCTAAGGTTTCAGATAAACAATAGTCATGTGACATTATGATTGCTTGTCACAATCTGTGTCAATTTTTTAGCATGGTTATACTTTACTGTAACTATGTAATCGACCATGAGTAAATGCTGGCATTAAGTACCGAAAAATAAAGTTATTAAAATTACTAAAATTGAATCGCTTTATTTATCAGATGATAAAATTTTATCCCAATCAAGTCGTATTCTGTGTGGATGCTCAGGAGGTCACTTAAATCGAAAACAATAAATTTCTGTTCACATAGACGCTTATTAACAAGTTTATAAATACGTACTACGCCAGTTATTAACATATAAACGAAGTATTCTACTTAACTCATCTGAGGTACAAGAGCCGTTAAAAGTACAACATATTTTAAGTTTTTTCTTATTAGTTTCGAGCAATCAAAATAGCTTTGAGAGACATATATCGAAGAAACATTGGAATGACGCCCCTCAGTAAAATAGGGTATAATCTTTTCTTGAATTTTCTTTGGATCGACACATAGGTCCTCAAATATAACTACTGTACTTCTTTTTGAAGAGAATGAATCTAGTTTTGGAATTTTATTAGACTTCATAGTTCGAAATGTTATATCTTCACAGTATGGTTCTGGGCTATTTGCAATAATCTGGTATGCTGATTTGAGGTATAAATATTTTGGTTACTTGAAGTTTACTCTTTCTCTTCATGTTTGTCTTTTAAAAACATTTGTAACCATAGCAAATTAAGAAATGAATCATATCCATCAGCTGATCTAGATGATCGGTATTTTTGATCGCGAATTTTATTCGTTTGTGTAACCCGATCAGGCGTAAACAACCGGTTTGTTTGATCGATCGAAATTTCCATCGAAGTAGACTTGTGATACGGTCAATCAATCTAAAGAAAACGCGTTTTTACGATTCTTCGTCATTAAACGATACCTTGTGATAATTAACATAAATTACTTATTCAGGCGAGTCTATAATTTTTTTTTCTCCATAATTTTTCGATAGCTCTGTTAAGCACGAAAAGCGCCAGCGGGCGGACTGGGAATACTAGATCTGTCGGAAGCCAATACTGGCAAGTCATCAATAGATGGCCGGCTTTGAGTGAAGATTTCAGTCGCACAGAGTTAGTGAGATTGTTGGGCACAAAAGACGCCAGCGGGCAGACTGGAATCTCTAGATCTGTCGGAAGCCAATAATGGCAAGTCATCAGTGGATGGCCGGTCTTGAGTGAATGATATCTCCTTTTGATGACTAATTTATAAGTTTTGTTCAACAAGGTGCTTACCCATATCTTTTACGATTTTGAAGATGCCGAAATCCGAGAGCAAGAAAAAAGAAAACGTAAAATGGATGATCAATTGTGATAATCCTACACCCCTTTCGTTCTATCGATTTATAAAACCAACTCATCATAACCGTGCAGATGAGAAGTACCGTAATACTCTTAATTCAGCATTGGAGTGCAATCCTAAAAATAGGGAAATACAGAAGAAACTTACAGAAATGCGAAAAAAGTTTGATGTACATAATCGAATACATTTTTTCATGTTTATATTATTGAATTTCTAAGCTTGTTCTTTCTTTAAATTAGGACGGAGAATATAAACAAGACTGGGAAATTTGGATGTAAGAGAAGAGAGCGGTATTCTAAGTCATTGCAAACTTTTAAGCCATAAGCTTGTGATCGATAATACTAATATTCCTGCTTTATAGACTCGAGTTCACCGTTCGATTCAAGAGACCAATGAGAACGTCCACAAAAAATTCAAT